ACTTTTGGTAACTTGTGAAAGAACGACAGAAAATACAGACAATATTAACATGACTAATCTTTTTTTAATAATTTAACATGACTAATCTTTTAAAAAGTTGTAGTGTAGCCCCTTATTAACTAAAGGGACTAATTATAATGCAAGAAGCAGAGCTTATAACTTTGATGTTCAGTGCTTTAAACATGATAATTGAGTAGCATTAAAAATGCATACCTTAGTTACAAATATAGGACATGTCTACATAGTGTGTTCCAGATTATCTAGCTAGAAACTTAAACTAGTACATGTCAGTGTATTTATTTAATCATTGTAGTTGAAGGAATCCAGAAAGCCTAAAAAAAGGTAAAACATTGATTCCTACCTTCAGATTCTAAAAGTACAAAAAAGCATCATTGTAATAAGTTGAAATTTAGTGGACTTTTTCTTGTGGTTTATTTTATTTGAGTTTTTTCAGATCAAAGTCGGAATGACTGAGGAAGAAATACTGTGATCTAGTCAGGAAGGCGTTGTCAGTAAGAGGACTTGAAGTAACTATACCAAAATAATAAAATTATGGTCCTTATTACTAACTCATGTTTTAGTTGGCATATGACTATTTTGGGGTATTCATGTCTTCAGAATTAGTGATATTTAGGGGAGAAAACAGTAGTCATTGATAGAAAAATCTCTTTTTTCAGATTTCTTAAATTTAATAAATTGTTCTGAAAGACTGTTACATTTTCTGAATGGTCTATGTATTTTGATATATAATTTCAAAAATAACTTTATCCATATGTATTTTTGCTTTCCTGCATATTTTTCATGGGAAGGCTATCACATCCAACTTTTCACTCTGTCTGTTCACTCACCAATCAGAAACTCATGCAGCAGCTAAAGTCACTTTTACAACACAAAGCTTTTCTCTTGACATGTATTCTTTAGCTACTTTACAATAGAGATTTTTAAAAAATGAACATAACAGACTTTTTTATACCAGTGGTTCAGTAGGATTTTTATAATGGCCCTATGGTTTTAAGTGAATTATTTAGCTAAAATTTAAGTAGTAGTTAAGTGGTACTTTAACAATTGATGAAGTTTTTCAAGTGAGATTTATCTTGTTTTTTTTTTCAAAATTTTATTGATAAACAGATAGCAATGAGACAGTTTCAAATCAAATCAAAAGTACAGTTTCAACAAATAACACACTGCATATATTCTTCTTCGTGGTTAATTGCTGTACAAGATGCGGACTTGAGATCCTATTTACAAACACCATTAGAACAAATCATTCTATTCATTAAGAGAATGCAACTATATAT